AAAATAACTTAAGAGGGATTACCTTGGGTATAAGACCTACATGGAGGATTCAATCTCTTACCTTGATAATATCTTGTCCAAGATCACATGCTAGTCGCCGTACGTCTCTAGTAGCCGTTTACCGCTGAATTACATTCGCCAGCACCCATTTATACATCCGGGGGGAGAGAGGCACTGTGAGAGTAAAGTGTCTTGCTCAAGAATACAACACAATGTCCTCGGCCAGGGCTCGAACCCAGAGCACCGTATCCCGAGACCTGCGCACGTTTATTCTAATGAAACTACTGAAATTATTAGTAGTACAAACAATGACCGACACGCAAACCAATAGCGTTATGGTAACGAAACTGAAACGATCATAATTCTGTGGTTAAACTTTACCAAGGGCTCAAATATATGATCCAAAATACACGACTTCGACATTTCAACATGAAAATCTGACTAAAACGTTTCCTTTCTACTCAAAAGTAATAACAAAAAGACTCTTTACCTTTACTCGTTATTCTTTACCTTCTTCGGCTAATTCTTAACCTTTAATATTGAGTGATTGAATAATAATATTGAATACTGATTGAGTGGTTGAGTGTGGTTCTTTAATATTTAATATTTACTCTTTACTCCGTCTTTACCTTTTTCGGCTAGTTTTACCTTATTTTCGCTTATCTCCAGATCTGATAACACAAACGTTATTATTAATACTGGCGATCGACGCAAGAAACTGTCGCGAAATTTATGTTCCCTTTCTGATTAAAATACATAATTCAACGCACTCTTAATTTCACATTTGATAATATTAAAATAATAATAATATTAAAAACTGGAGTACTAGATAATATATTTCCAGACGTTTGATTTGTTTACCAGCCGGCATTAGACGAACAAAATCGACTAAAATCATTTTGCGAGCAATGTGTCGTGCTCGTTTATGAAATAAATTAATTACTTGGTTGACAGGTGGAATAATGATTTTACTGTTATTTTATGAAGCAAAGTTTTCACTAAGCTAAAATAAATGTTTGAAACGGAGCGCTTATTTTTCAGGAAACCTTGTCCTAAAATACCGTCAAGTCAATTTCGCTTTTAGCTATTTCCACTGCCGCGTTCTTTTAGGCGCGTCAACAAACGTGAATTTTAATGGTTTTACATGCGTATAATAAAATAGAGGACTCTTGCCTGCGGACACTCAAGTTAAACCTCATTCAACTTTTTCCACAGACGAAAGCTGCCCAAGACTTTCCTCTATTTATTTTACGCACGTAAAGACATTAAACAAGTGTGAATGGGGCTGTAACTGTGACTTCAGAATTCAATCTCAGAACCGTTAAACCTCTATAGGAATATTTAAGTATCTGTATAAATGATAACTTTCAACTTGAGACCTAGAACTCAAAAGATGAAAAATCATTCAGCAAGTGTCTGTATGGAATAACAGGCTGGTGCCGAGTTACATTTACACAAAACGAAGGCGACTTTTTCCAAAGATAACGGTCTGGATTCGCCTGTAACATCTCGAATATGGTGTGATTTCTTAGCATTGGTGGCGCCTCTTGCTTGATCCTCGCTACAAATTCACGCAATGTTGCCTTGAAATTATTTGTAGACCTATCATACTCTCGATGTTTGGGATTGCCAGCTGTGACAGGAGAAAACAAAAGCGCTTGACCGCCAAACTTGACTTCGACAGCTATCATGGTGTTTCTATTACAGCAAAACATACACCCGCGTTCGTATTGCGTCGGATACGGAAGGACATGTTCAACAGCTTTATGGTGGAAAGCGTTAAAGAGGCCATCGAACATCACAGTAGGAAGAACAAGAGATGATTCATTTATTCCGCATAAATCTCTCCTTTTCTTTATCAAACTGCGTGCCCCGAAATAGGCCTTGTAATCCAACACACCCAATGCTGGCTCGTAATCTAGCAGCCACTTTTCCACAGCTCGGAACGGCGACATCTTAGTCATGTTGACGGGTGTAAACTCGTTGTATTCGAGAATAGTGTCATCGTTTATAAATATATAATAATGATAACCCGGTCTTCTATCCATTGCGGCAAAAAATAGCACATTTCGTCCTGATGCAAAGAGGGTGTTGGGATCAAACAAATAAGTGATGTGTGATTGATTGTTATCTTGGCACTTGGCTTGGAAACTCAGCACAATCACATCACAGTTACAGGTCTCGGGATCGCCAATCTGAGAAGAAGAAGCCAAGTTTCGCGGAAGACATTGCTCTGTTTCTGTGAGATAAATAAATGGCTTTTGAGTTGTACTTCTCATTGCTGTATAATCGTGAAGCTTCGAGTTGTAGGCGAAAAATTGAGTTGAAGAATAAAAGTCAGTGTTCTCTCTAAATCTGATCATGTCTTGTACGGTTTCTTTGGTATAAAGAATCATTCCAAGTATAACAACTGAACTCAAAGCCAGTGTAATTAAAAAAACTCTCTTAAATTTCATTTTACTGTAGTGTTAAACAAATCCTGCGCGGCAGAGAGAAGTGTTTGAATAAAATAAAATAGTTACTGGATGTCTACGATCTCTTGGAAACAAAAATTCAGTAGAGTCGTCGTTTTTAGCGCAACGTGGTATCCAGTTAGATATAATGGTACAATGGATTTTAAAAGCTTCGTTGCTTAATAATTATTGTTTTTCCAGTTGAAATCTATCATGGAAATTAAGGATCGAAAAGAACTCAGCATCAAAGCCAAACCCGGACATTAGTTTTTCTTGCCTTGGAGTCATTTTAACATCTTGATAAAAGTGAAACAAACTAACATCAATGCCTAGAGTCGAGCTGGGACTTGAGCGAGAACTCGAGCCGGGACTTGTCCCAGGACTCCAGCCAGGACTCCAGCCAGGACTCCAGCCAGACCCCAGCCGGGACTCGACCTTGGACTTAAGCTGGCCAGGACGTCGACTCGAGCTGATTTCAATTTTAGAAACCAAGAATCTAGATTCGGCTCAGTTTTTAAGAGGCTTTACCAAAAATGGCACGTTTGACCCAAATGATTAATTGCTAGCAAATCAAACACTGTGTATTTTTTTATTTAGTGAATATTATGTACCAACATGTCGGAACACTGCCACCGCCGCAGCTGAATGATCTGAAGAGGTTGCCACTGATTTGGCTTCTTTTGCAACTGGGTTCGTGTGCCTCATGGATTCGCCGAGCTCAATACCTTTAGCCATTTCCACGTAGCTGCCGAAAGACGGCAACACAGCGTTAAAAACTCTACCTCTAACTCTATTTCTTTCCAAGGTCTTTTGAGGTTGGGGATGGCGAGGGAAAGCTTATTTTATATTATATATGAGTCAGCTACGGAACATATAAAGGAAATAGAGAGGAATAATTAATGTGTATTCGGGTTGGCGTTCATAGCCGGTAGACCGGTTGTGGAAAGTAATGAGGCAATTACTTCGGTTTTGGTTTTGGTTTTGGTTTTACCATAGTCTGGAATTGGTTGAGTAGTCTAATTGGTAAGTAATTGGTTTGCATGGTCTTATTGTTAATGCTTTATTTATAGAAAGATCGACAGATACATGTAATTCGAAACCACTGCGTTTTCTTATCAGAACTGTAACAGTGAAAATGCCGTAAAAAAATAACTCCGCTTACCGCTAGCAGGCGGGACGACCGCAAAATTGCAAACTTTTTGACAACGAATCCAGTTCAAAGTTCGTTATCACATTGCAGGTTTATCTTTGTATCGAAAAAGAAAAACTTACACCTCGAATACAATCACCATAATTACGGCAATGCACATACCGTATAAAATGATTATACAAAATTGCACCTTGACAGAAGTAGTGGCCTAATTATGCAAAGTATCATTTGGTCTAAGAAGAGATAAAACGACAAGTAAACAAACAGCTTAAAACCACCGATAACGTTCAAATCGACAAAAATGAGAGTCGTATTGACTTTGCCCATAAAACTCCACCAACCCTTAAACTGCACAACTGTAATTTAGCGGCCATTAACTGTTTACCTAAACAGCAATAATTCAAACAAGTGAAGGCTCTACCTGAATAATAAATCAAGCGATTTTGTGTCAAAGAAGGAGAGAAACGAAACTAACTCATATTAACGAAAATATTTATTCTGCGGCAATGTAAATCTCGCCTTTTGTGCCTTCCTCATCGCTTTCTTGAGTGGGTAGGGTTGCCGTCGCCTTGCAATAAGATTATGGACTGCGGAATATCCAGGAAGTTAGAAATTTCTTTTTCCCGGGAAGGTGTTGCAGATTTGCACCTGTCAAAATTTGACTCAACTTTCTATTCAAAAACCGTGGTCTTTTCTACTTTAGCCAACAAGGAAAATAAATTGCAGTCTCAACCTCTTTTATTCCTCTGTCTTAGTGTTGTTGACAGTGTATTTCCCTCAGTGTCAAAAGGCCTGTAATGCTGGACCTTCCGCGAGGTATCGTCAATTCACTCAGGCATGATCTGCCAAACTATTACCAAATTCAGTCGTTATCCACACAAACAGCAACCTTAACATTGATCAAACCTACGGAAGATAATATGAATAACTCAAGGTTGCAGTAATAACTTTATATCGTTTAACCTAACAGCAAAACGCTTCGTTTGCGTTCGGGAGACTTTCTCACTATAACACGCACAGTTTAAACGTTTAACTTCATATTTATTCGAAATTGGTCTTTTTATTCTAAAAATTAATATTATAACAGAATATTTTACCCCCAAATGCTATTACTCTTCAGAAATCCAATCATGAAATATCAAATCCGCGCAATTGTTATTTCTACTCAGAAGGTTAAAACTGCTAAAATCTCTTTATTTTCTCAGGGGCGAAGTAGTAGCCCAAGGGTAGTACCTGTAATCGCTGGATCAGCTAAGTTAAGGCTTGTTGAAAAAGACAATAACTTGGATGGGTGACTTGTGCTGCACATGTCATCTCCTCCCGAGAGAGCAGAGAGCAGAGAGCAGAGAGCAGAGAGCAGAGAGCAGAGAGCAGAGAGCAGAGAGCAGAGAGCAGAGAGAGCAAAAACGCATGGTTACCCCTACATTATATGTTATGAAATGAAATTTGAGGATTTGCGGTATGGGAGCTTTAAAATTCACCTGTTTTGTTTACAATATCTACTTGTCTTTAAGGATTTGCAGAGAACGCATGTTTATACAAGTGACTTCGGCGCGTGAAAGTAAGCAGTTAAGACTTTCGTTCTTTTTTCTTTCATATACTTTAAAAGGTAATCAGTGTTATAAATTGTGTCTCGTATTCTTTGTGGGAGCCTGTTGTTCTTGAAATGGAGACCGCTGGCCCAGTTTTCATGAGCCCTAGTGCCAGGTCCCGGTGGCTGTATTTGTATGAATAGTAATTATCATAGAAGTTTCGTGTCAGTTTTTCTCTGAAGATACATTCTTCATTTCTCATCACCTGTATATGTGAAAGAGACAACAAGATTGCATTTAGAACCAATTAAACAGCGTGATTGACAATGCCGTAAATCTTTCACCTACTCCAGTAAAAGTAAAAAGTAGTAAAAATAATGCATAAAATGCCAAAGACGGGAAGGAGTAAACGATTGTAAGCCTATTGAATAGAACTGAAGCTCTGAAGGGCTATCTGGTATCTCCTTACCAGAAAGACCTCTGGGGCTTCAATTCTATTCAAAAACTATAAGGGGTGGTAAATGGCAAATGCGAAAAGGTGAGACTGGCGGTTTGGTTTGTGAGCCCGAGACATTTTGACTTCTTCAACTGCGAGACCGAGACTTTAAAATGTTTTAAATGTGAGCTCGATACATTCAGGTTATAAGAGATTCAGACTTCAATATAAAAAAATCAAAACAAAAACAAAAACAGATCGATACTTCGAGACTTTCCTAGTCTTGCAAAAAATTGAGACTGCCAGACAGCTTTGTGAAAAACATTAAGACTGCAAGACACACATAACCGCTATAAAAACGAGACTGCGAGACCCGTGAAGTTCAACGAAAATTTTGCGAGACCCATGGCCATGGTTTTTGAAGGATCATTCGCCACCCCTGCTATAACTGAAAAACGTAATTGAAGCCACATAACTTACTGTAGTGTAGACTTCTCCATACTTGTTTAATGCGAGATAGAAACCAGTGTGAACGCCCCTGATGTGAATGAGGTCTCTTGCTACTGGTACGAGCTCTAAGACGACTAAAACGTTAATTAAAAAAGAAACAGCTCTTCTTCAGTTTTAATCAGATTTTGTGTTACCAAATTATATTTCCTCGGGTTTTTTTTCCACTTTCTCTTACTGTAAAATCGTCGCGTGGGGGGCGCCCAGCTCTATAACTTCGATTTCAGCATGTTTCATAAGGTTCAAGACCGTACCCCAACGCTCTGTCTGTCATAGTGTCATAACTGTTTCTCGTAAATCATAATTGCAAGGGAGACAGGCACAACTTTTTTTTATTACAGGAATTTACACACTATCTTATTAACCAGTCTGAACTTGAACATAACCGATCGCATGCCATTGCTCATGATCAATCTTTCGAGAATGGCGATTTCCTAGAAAATTCCGTGTTCAAACAGAGAACTGAGTAAGTTAGTGACAGGCCTGGCCTTGGAAACAAAGCGGGAATTCGAAATAAGAATCCACTGTAGGAAAAAAGATGGCGGCTGTACATTTTACCACAATGCCTTGCAATCCTAACACAGCCTATAAGGCACAAAGAAAGCCAAATTTTTATAACATTTGTCCCCGTTCTAAGGACATTGAGTAGCCTAGGTTTGAAGATTTTATGAAGTTTCTGTATGTTTTTACCAAAGTTGTTAAGGTTTTCGCGCACTAAGAACTATGGGTAAATATACCAGTCGCCATCTTTTTTCCTACGGAGGATTAAAGTAAGTGCCTGCATGACTGAAAAATTTTGTGCGCCATAAATTTTGGACAATTTGAAATCGTAGAGGCCTTACTGCTGTCCACTCTTCATCCCTGAGCCGTCACAGGTAAAAGGGAAATCAAACATAATACAAGAACACTGAAGTAAGAATCAGGCTACCCCTTACCTTGTGGACTGTGGTAATTTCGTGTTCCCTTTACACGTCCATCATTACCGATCTCTAAATATAGGCCACTAACACAGTAAAGTTTGCGCCTTCTAAACAGGACAATAAGATATCGTATGTCAGGAACGACTGTTTTATCAAAGACAAATCTAAATTGAAAACTGGATCAAATTTTGAGCTAATGGCCACTTCCCGTTATGAGGCGCGCCTGCAGGGAATCATGGTAGTCGTATTCATCAAAACAGATATCCAGTCCAAGATCTGGATTGTGACTGAGTGACCGACCTACCGACTGATTTATTGGCTGGCTGGTTATTTTGTTCGTTTATTCCTTCGTTCATTCAGTCCGTCTGTCTGTCTGTCGGTCGGTCTATCTGTCTGTCTGTCTGCCGGTCTGTCAGTCAATCTGTAGGTCTGTCGGTCAGTCTGTCAGCCTGTCTGTCTGTGTGTCGGTCAATTTGTCGGTCTGCCGTGGTCTGTAGGTCGATTGGTCAATTGGTTCTTCAGTCGATGGTTTAGCCATTCGTTCGTTGACGGAGGCTAGCTGACTGACAAATCGACGGAGGTCTCTAACAAGTCGTTCGCACATAAAGAAACTCAATAACGCAAGACGCTAGCTTACCTGCCCATGTTGCAGTAGCTATCGGTGCATGATTCTCGGGAGCTTCCCTGATTGGACAGAATCGACTGGTGCATATACATTTTTCAACTGAGAGATTGAAATGGAAACTGATATTAGGAAATCTAAAAAGTTAAAATCTAAACTGAAAGACCTGAAAAACCTCCGTATCAAAGAGCACCCGTATACATGTTTGCTTGCTTGCTTGCTTGCTTACATGCTAGCTAGCTCACCCACTCAGTGCCTGTTTTCTTGCTTGCTCAGAGGCGTTCTAAGCTTTTACAGTCTAAACTAAATCAAACGATGTAAGCATTAGTCGCGTTAGCCCTTCAACACAAAAGAACGGCAAATGCATACATTTTGGAAAAACGCGAATCTGTGAATAGAGTAACCTCTCAGAGTAAACACAGTGGAAAGTTATGCAGTGTCAGCCGACTTCTGTGCATGTTAATGACGATTTGTGCTCTCGCTATCTGGATTAAATAGAATATTTTGGAGGGCTTGTTTGCTTTGTACGTATCCATATTAACATTCTGAAAGAAAAGTTTAACTTTGCATGTCTTTGACGGAGTATTTCAAAACGCCAACTCCAAAATAAAGGAGTTCTGAGCTTAAGCAAATCACTTTAAAAGGTAGAGTACAGTGTTTTGACCATAAACGATAAGACAAAAATAACAGAAGTGTGTATAACATATGACTAAACAAACACAGGCCGTGTACTGCCAATTTAGTGAACCCTAGTTCGCCCACGATGTTCACCATCAACGTTCTGTGCAGCGACTTCAATTCTTTAGCAGCTGGCTTGTAAGCATACGTGGTAAAATGTTTTCAAGTTCTTTTTCAAATTAAAAGCCATAGCAAAATCATTAAACGATTGAGGTATCTAAGTAAAATTTTCTTGCAGAGACAAATCGATGTGCCTAGTCTCGAGTCTTTACAAATCTATAAGTGTGCGTTGAAAGTACATCAGATATAGGAAAGAAGAAAAGTGCTCTCCACGCAGTGAATCACTAAAAGTCAAAACATAAAGTGAGCACGAGTGATGAGAACGAATGGTAGCGGATTCTATATGAAATACTTACTTGTCAGCCGTTCTGGGTTTTCACCTGAAGTGAAACTCTATGGCTCTGCTGATGAGAACACACTTCTGCTTTCTCCAAACGCTGGCTAACAAAGTCAGCTACAACGTTTGCCAAAGGTTTAAGCTGAAAAGAATCTTAAACAAACAAGGAGCCCCGCACAGTAATGAATTCTTTTCAGTGCTTTCCTGTTAGCTTACATTCTATAACCTTGCTGACCCACTGCGATGAAAAATGGTCATTAAGAGGTGGAATCCAAGAAACAATAAAATAAATTCTAATGGTTATGAGGTTGCGAATGCCTGGAGAGCAATTGAAATTGAGTTTTTGTCAGTTTTGATTGCTGCTAAAAGCTGTTTAATAAGGTGCAAAGCAACTGTTAAGACTGTTAATCTTTCTTTGTCATTCCGCATCGTTATTGAAATTGTGGAGAAATGGTCAGGAGGAAAGTTTGTAACGCAAAAAGGCTTCTTTCAAAGGAAAGTTTGTAACGCAAAAAGCGTTGAAAGGCATCTTTCAAAATGATGCCGACAGGCCGACCTTGAAGCCCGACTGGTTTTCATTCCATGAGGGATTCAGTGTGCTAACAGTTAGTCGCGCATTGAAAAACGCACACGGGTTCGAACCCTGGCTGAGGCCATTATGTTGTTGTGTTTTAGGGTAAAACACTACTCCCACAGTGCCTCTCTCCACGGGCAACTGTTTTGACAAAATGTTTGAAGAAACAGTCTTGGTAGAAGTAATTCTGAGAGTTGCTTCATGTTTCAGAAGCCTGGATGATCGCTGCCACTTTCAGCCGGCCACTCGGCTCGTTGATTATAAGGTCTCTAAATTTTCACTCCAGGTCACTCCAGCTCCCGGGAAGGAATGAGTTTAAATGTTACAGCTTGCACCTTCGTGACAATTTATTCACGCCTGTTTTTAAATGGAGAACAGTTGTCTTTCATAGGAAGGTTAAACTCCATACCGCTTCACTCGGGGGGCGACTGAACTTTTTATAAATACATTTACAAATAGCAGTTAAGTGTTTGGCCGACAGGATCACCTGTTCTCAAAGTAAAAACGCTTAAATAAAAACTATGGGATGTTGAGAACATAAGCTACATCAGAAGGGCCAATAGACCAATTTTGATTCATTAAAATTCAGCCTTAAACAACAGAGCTCAGTAGGAGGCTGTGGGGAATAACTACAGAGTTTGTGGGGTTTATTCCCCAGAGCCTTGTGCTGAGGTCTGTTGTTTTAGGCTGAATTTTAATATATCGAAATTGGTCTATTTTGGACTCTAAATTGGTAAACTTTGGAATGTTTCCGTATAAATGGGGGCTGGTCGGTGGAGCGAGGGGGTGGGGTTAGGATAACCCTCCTTCCATGCCACGAACTAGAGGTAAGGTAACCTGATTTTTTTATAGTGAAACACTCGAGTGTCAGCCTTAAACGGATGCAGTCCCCCCCCCCCGCCCCGCCCCGCTCCCCACAGACACAGTGGCATCTCCTCTAATGGCCGCCCCTCTACAACAGGCGAGATTATTTTGTCCCGACCGTGGGCTGATCAATTCACCTCACCACTATAACCCCGCTCCCTCCCATCCACAGGTGCCACTTCTCTCGGTCATGGATTTCTACCCAAGAGTAACCGTTGTATAGATTGTTATAGTTGTGTAAGACTAAAGGCCTTCTTGCAGTGTGGCAGTAACCCTTCGACATAACGAAACACGAGAAATCTTTCAGTATCAGAGCGAGTCTCAACAAAGAAGCCTGTTACTGTACAAAGTAGAATTTATTCAATTCTGTTTCTTAGCACTGAAAGTCGTACTTCAAAATACTTTATTCCATTCACTACGTGCTGGTTTTCTCAGCATTGTTCATTAGCAAAGTGTCAGAGTACGCTGGCGAAGACTTAAAAAAAAGGTTAAAAACGAAGAGTGTTACGATTACATGATGCTTCGTTCACACGTGACCGAGTCCATGCGAACAATGATGTAACGCAAAATATTAAGAAACTCTACTATAACACATTATCTCCGCTGTGGAAGTAAAACTCAGTTTTGACTCTTGTTTTGAGCACAACTGCCGGTCATGTTATTCTGGGCGTGAGGGATTGTATTGTACGTTTGAGCGACAGGACTGCTGGATGGCGCCATGACGGAGAAGGACAAAAATATCTTCATTGTTTCTCTATGTTCAGGTTCTTCGATTTCTTGAAGCTGATCTGGAATGAGTAACAGGTGTCAAGGAGAGAACTGCTTAGAGAGACTTCAAAACTACTTCAGTTGCAAGCAGAGGCTTTTCAAATTAAGCCCTTGAATAGAGCAGCATTGCTTCACTCACTGCTATGGTGCCATCACACGGAAAACTACCCTGTATACAGGATAAATAAACCTGATGGAGCATGCACTAAGACCCGAAAGAAGAAAGTTAGTTCAACGTATTCGGTGGTTCAGAATAGCTTTTGCTCAGTAGTTTTGGGACATCCCGGCATGTGGACTAAAAGAGCCACACATAGCCAACTACGTGGTATAAAAGAACTGGTTTATTACAAAACTTAGGTCAAGAATAATTTATAAAGTAAATAAATAACGATTTCCGCGCAGTGCTTTAAAGTCAACAAAGCAATTTACTTGCACCGAGTTCGCGGGAGGTGTGTGGCGCCTGGACTGGTCTCGTTCTCTTGACTCAATAAATAGTGAAACGACTCGACTTTCAGGAATAAAAAAAAAATTTAACCTCTAAAAATAACAGCGCAAGTAAAAGGATATTGTTTTCTGGATCGTTCATCTTCCTTGGATTCTGAGTCTTTGACTTCTTGGTGACGCGCTTCTTTCTGAAAGATGAAAAAAAAAACCACAGTTACAATATTGGAAAGACCAGAATGTGTTTATGTTTGTAAGACAGCGAGAGTGAGGCATTGAGAAGGAAACCTTTCGACAGAAATTGGAGTCAGCTAACCATATATACATTTGTTTAACTGTACATGCAGTGAAGAAGCTCGTTTAGTTTTAAGTTTAAACCTCGGAACCGCCTTTAACTTCTACTTAATATAACCCCCAAGACACATACAACTGGCGTGACTTATTGTAGGCAGGAGTGACACTTGCGTGACATAAACCCGTTAACACAGCGTGACATTAGCGTGACCTTGCCACAATAACATAACAGTAGCGTGACCTCGCCTCTTTAACTTAGCGTTACAATAGTGTTATCTGGAATGTGATTAACCAAAACTGTTGTATACCTGTTACAACAAACAACTAATCACAGTAGACAGAGAAAAGAAACTCTTCATTGTCTAAATAAGATACCAACTAAGAAATTGAATTACAAGAAATGTCTGCCCATAACATTAAAGCCAATACCTTTTTACTCGCTGCTGGTTTGACTTCCTTGTCTTTTTCTCGTTCTTTGTCTTTTTCTTTCTCTTTCTTTCCCGCCGGTGGTGAGGCATCAGCTGTCACTTTTCGTACAATTTTCGTGACTTTTTGCTTGTCCTAAATCCACGCAGTATGCAAAATGTTCAGTTCAGTTATTTCAGTTGGAACAAGTCCTTTGTCATCACACAGCAGCTATTAGTTTTCCAACCAACTAAATGTTGAAAATCCACCACAAGTACGAGCAACAAACGGACAAAAACTTTGTACCAAGATTATTTACATTGTATTGAAAACAGTGCGACACTCAATCGTAAAAACCACACCCTTTGGCTCATCACGCAACCTCATTTATTACTGTGTAATCGTTACAAAGGATTACGTGACTAGCCTTCAAACCCCCTAGCTAGTCAGATGAATTTGTTGTTCCACTCCTCACCTCGCTCTTGACTTTGACTTTGGTTTCAGCGCCGTGTGAGTTGGAAGTTTTGGACACAACAACAGTGACATCGGTGTCTTCTCTTCTTCTTTTGGCTTCTTTACCCTCAGCAGGATCTAATGAAGACTACATCAAGCAAAACATAAATGAGCAATAACATACCAGACAGACTTAAAAATCCCCCTTTTATTCTAAAGTTACGTTACCCGGTACCAAATCCTATCCGTAAATTGACTTGATATATGATTTTCATCGGAAATTGCTTGGCAACACGAAGAAATACCCGAGAGTGTTCGCGCTGTTTTCCGATGGGAAGACAATTCTTCGAGAGCGAACGAGGATTGCCAAATATGGCACTTGTAGCTCTTAATATTGTCTGACTTTTGTAGTTCGGATAACAAACTGCTAATAAACCAGCCACATAACCTCACTCACCCGTTTCCTGTCTGATTTTGAAGCCTTTTCCTTTTCGTATTCCGTGAGTTTTGATTTCCTCTCCTGGTTCTCGGGACTCTGTGAAGAAAAAAAGGCACAAGAAAGTTGTTTGAAAGGCATTCTCAGAAAACAACACTCACAGTAGTTCGTACATTTCTATCCTTGCTATGCTTAGTCATCCTTTCTCTTTTTTTAATGCAACTTTATTTACAGGACGAACATTTACACTACTTGCAGTACTAACATTATACTTACATATACACTTACACTATGCTTACTACTTACACTATACGTACACTACTTATACTTCCACTACTTACAATACAATTACGCCAATTGAATTAAAGTTGGCCTACTTACAATGCTCCTTTTTTATTATAGATAAATTGCATAAACATATAAGTTACATACATACTACACTTTATTTCTCTACAACGCACTTAATTATGCTATACTGTTTCCTTACTTTTCAACTACGACCAACGGAACAACACTAAAAATTACTTAGAATACTGCTGATTAAATATACGCGCTTACATAAATGATAATAAAAAAAGAAGGAAAAACAAACAAACAGAAAAAAGAGAAAGTGGAAAACAAGGGAAAAAAGCTAGTCATTAGTCATTCTTAATTCCTAACGGGATCCTGTTAATTATAGAGTACAGTACACAGTAGGCGGTTAGTATCTCTGAAATAGCAATGAGTTTTACACAGAAACTGACCTTAAATGAGTCGGAATCGCCAGCTAACCGGGCTGGAGAGTTTTCCTGAAAAGAGATATTCAAATATTTTACAGTATATCAATGAGTTTATATCCAGCCTCGAGGAATGAGGCCATCTCTTGGGTCAGCTGTGCACTAAATAGCTAAGATCCCTTAACCATTTATATCCAAGATCAACATCTGACAGCTCCTCGTAATTTCAATTCAAAATCGAACTAACGGATAATGAGGATTGAGGAGGGAAGTAACATTTAATCAGAGACAAACCTGTGAAGAGGGTGATGAGATGCCTTCAAGTTTCCGACGCTTCGGCTCTGAAAAAAAAAGCACAGCACAGTCATTACGCTTAACATATGACACTGTAGATTGTCCATTCCATTAGCCGCACATCGTAGACTTAGCAAATGAACCAGTGTTTGACAAAGAGATTTGGGTCAATAACAGGACATCAGCAACACACACAGTGCGCCTTAGTAGGCTCCTATCACCGTGTACCCCAATTAGCACCTGAGCCGTATAGCCCGTATACCTCAGTTGGCCCCTAATTAGTGTATCTCTACCGGTTCCTACCTTTTTCGTACTCTCCATCACGCGGTGACTCAGGAACTACAGGTGAAGAATGTTTGCTTTTACTCCCAGACCGTTCTCTGTCCTTGTCTTTCAACCGTTCTTTCACTTTATCTTTCCCTTCTTTTTCTTTACTCTTACTTCGTTCCTTTTCTTTGTCTTTTGTTTTCTGTTCTTTTATTTTCTCAGCTTTTTCTCCTTTCACCTTTTCTTTGGGTTTGTCATTTTGTTCCTTGTCAATCTGTTTATCTTTTTCCTTCTCCTTCAGTTTCTGTTTACTGAAAAGACATGAACATGGACACTTGAAAAACCGTTCATTTCCGCACAAAGCAAACTTTGTTCAGAAGTTTCGCAAGTCACCATTTCTTTAACATGCTTCAGAAGCCTGTCTCCAGGGGACACGGGGATGGCGCACGGGGATGGCGCAGTGGTGAGAGCGCTCAGCCTCCCACCAATGTGGTCCGGGTTTGATTCCGGCCTGGTTTCGAAGTTGTGGTTAAATTTTGTTGTTGGTTCTGGCCTTACTCCGAGGGTTTTTCTCCGGGTTCTCCGGTTTTCCTCCCCCCATTAAAACCAAAACATATCTCCACATTCCAATTCAACCAGGATAGAGGACCTGCATGAAAACCAGCTAAGGCTGATGATGTGGCTTCCTCTCTAAATATTGTAATTTATTAATTTATTTTTATTTTTCGTGGAGTTCATCTTTTCTCAGGTTGCGTGGGAAGGATTTAAATACCACCCATCTAGCAAACAGCAAAAGTTAAGATCACGTTGAATCGTAGATGATAAATTCGAACGATCGTTGAAAGCAACAAAAAATGTTACTAAACTGTTATCATGCAAACGCGTACCGAAGTTCCACGCACAGCAACACTGTTGCAACACTTCGATGTCGAGGAAAAACATGCGACTCCCTCTTTTCTTTTCTTTTCTCACTTTTGTGATTCAGTAAGCAAATTTGGACACGCTCTAACTAAAGTCTTCCTCGCGCGATCCATATGAAAATAACTTTCCATGTGTGGAATTTAATAAAGTTTAAGATAAGTACTAAATTATTTACTTTTTGGTGCAAAACGTCGATCCAGAACAGTTTTGTCCAGTGTACTAGGTAAAGCACACAGTCTCACTCACCTGGATTCAGTCTTTTTGCTGATGGACACGTCATTTCCATTCGTGCTCGTGTTGTTTTCTGTTTTCACATTAGTTGGAGTTTTCGTGCCTTTAGAGCTCGCATTGGACGCAGTGGATTTCGACGCTTGCTGACTAGAGTTACTGTTTGTAGTGCCAGATCTATGATTTAAAAACATCACAATTGATAACTTTACGTCGAATGTTGTTGCGAAAAAAAAAGGAAGATAAAAAGTGTCCCTGTGTTTTACTTGTTAGTTGGCGTGGTCCTGCTTGGTGAGTCAGCTGGACCTGACCGGGACGACTGACCACTTGGGGTACTGGTGCCTGATGATTTCGTGTTGGATGAGCCTGCACTTGATTTACCAGCGGACTTCTCTTGCGAGGAAGGCGCGCTCTCGGTTTTCGTCGCACTGGGACTGCGCAGGGAAACGAAAGTAAATAAAAATGATTAATGATTTTTAACAAGAACTAAAGAACATCGTGCAGTCGCCAAACCGAATTTACTGTGTATTTGCTTGCTTGCACGTTCGTTCGTTTGTTCGTTCGTCCGTCCGTCCGTCCGTCCGTCCGTCCGTCCGTTCGTTCGTTCGCTTGCTCGCTCGTTCGTTCCTTCGTTGGTCCGTCCGTCCGTTCGCTCACCAGCTCGTTTGTTTGTTAGATTTTTCAGTGTCTTTTTTTTTTCAAGGTTTAAAAATACATACCTGGAGGATTTCGAACCACTTGGCTCTTTCTTGATATTCACTAAGACAAACAAAACAATAAAAACGTCAAGAAAGGTTCCTCAAGGAGGGCAAACTTTGAAAAATTTAGCGTAAATTCTTGAAGCTCGTTCGTTATCCTTCTAAATCTTGCCATCCTTAATCACTCTTGTCTATTTTTGCTTATTATTTCTTTGGCTAATAATTACAAACTTTCCTGGAGGTAATTTTGTACATCGAAAAATCATGAAAGAGATGTTTGCTTTATAGTACAACACACTCAAGAGCAGACATTAAGTGCTCATACAACACAACAAAACAAAGTCACTAATCAAACCTGCAGCTTTGGGTTTCACGTCAGATTCACTCTTCACACTTTCTAAATAACAAAGATACAAAGAGTTTGATTTGGTCTTTAATCGTATCTAAAACAAAATTTTCGATCGTGATTGGTTCTCCGCGCGCCTATTTGTCACGTAATCAGCGCGCGATCACGTGGGTATCCAATTACAGGTGTCCAATTACAACTTTTTGGATACCTACGCCATTCACACGTCAATTACGTCCTACTGACTTTTTCGCTCAGAAAATTTGTCAGCTTAAGATACGATTCATTCGTAATTGGACCTCGCGAAGTACAATTCAGGGAAAAATCGTGCTCGTAATTTCAAATCGGTCTCGCGCCTCGTCCGATTTTGAAATTACTCGCGCTATTACTCCCAAAAATTGTACTCCGGTCAATCCAATTACTTTTACCAACGATACTCCACCTCTATATGATTATAAATTAACAATTCAGTCAAAAGAAAATAAAAATAATTAACTTGATTACTATGTCAAGCTTCCAGATAGTCTTCAAGGCTTATCAGTCGAGGACACACTTACTTGTTGTGTCTGAATTCACTGCAGGAGTCGCCGGAGCTTCCTAGAGCGACAAAGAGATGAAATACAGAAATCAAGTCAGCTAATCTTTAAACCAGAAACCATGTATTTAGATTGACACGGGAGTATAGACCATTTCCTCGTTGCCTTTTGCCTCTGTGTAAAAACGAGTCTTCGTGCCAAAACCATTCACATGGGAATGAGTTCCGCATACATGTTCATTTTCATGCAAATCAAATTCATTTTCATATGTCAGGGTTTGGACGAGGACTCGTTTTTTAACAGAGGCACCAGGTAACTTGGAAATGGCCTACTCTACAACTCTTTTCTAACAATTTGCACAACAAAGGTTTTCATCTTTGGATCTCCAGTTCTACAGAACCCTCTCAACCAACGGTTTGATCACAAACGCACCAAGACACAACCTTGACCAAAACTCAAATTCTCCCTCGGGAGAAATACAAAAACGTATTATAACAGTTAGATGAATTAAGATGCTGATAATGTAGCCTCCTGAACAAGCTCTTTTCTTCCTCTCGGCTCGTTTCACTCGACGTCCGCTCCTTTGTTAGAGAGCTTGTCCACAGGTAACCCAAACTGCTATAGAGTGAAGCTCTACTGCAAGCCCTTGACTTCCTTACATGACTTACCATTTTCTCTTGTTTAACAGCAACGGTTTCGCTTTGACTTGATGCCGGGGTGGCTGTTACAGGCGGCTGAAAAATAAAACAAAAAAGTGTAAAGTCTGACATATAAGAACGGTCAAATAATTAGAAAGCTGTGCTGTGACAGACAGAAAAGAAAATATTAACTGGTTGAAAGTAGTAGTGCTACTTAAGAGGAGTACATAAAGTTTCGAAAATTTGCGATGTTTGAAAGGAATACGCCCAATTTCCCACGGTCTTTAGAAAAGGCTACACACGAGTTAACAGCAATAAGGATTCATGGTTATATTTTGTTTCTGTTGAGTCACATAAGTATAAGATTTTGTACTCTGCGCCTATTGACAGAATTTAGAAGGACAAAATTCATTTCGATCAGATTCAGAAGTTAATGACAGATACATACATACACACGCAAGCAGCTAGCCTGCGATAAACTACTCATAAACGATTTCTTAACAGTGTTCATTCAGGTTTGTACCTTTTCTTTGTGATGAAACTCGCTCTCTACAACCATGTCTCGCTTCTTAACCTTCAAGCGACCTGCATACCTTGAATTCCACACACACAAAAAAAACAATCAAATCCTTGCTCTCCACAAACGCCTTGTGAACAAGATGTTATATTGACATTAGTTCGTTTCTTGGACCCGTTATAATCATTAAATTCTCTTACCCTACTGCTAAAGTATAAATATCTTGTCTCTTTTCCTTTTCCTCTTCGCAGATTTTATCGATTCTTCTTTCCAAAGCTTGACCAAGGTTTAACACTTTAGGATAATATGGCAAAATCTGCAAAAAAGAGTGACAACTGATCAAAACGAGGAGCAATTTTAACAGCTTGCAAAGTTTGACATATCACATCGATAGGAACATACCTTTGTTAAAACCATGATTGTGTTTCGAATTTGTGTATAATCCTTTGATTCCAAACAAACCACAAGAGCCTGAAACAGTACAACATATTGAACAAAATAATTCTGTGTTTTCTTACATGACTACTGCTAATCAATTTGCTTCGTTCCAAGTATGCAATGCATAGTTATCTTCGACGGTAAAAACAGTTTATGGTTACCGCATACCTATAGAGGTGTCTTGCGTCCAAGCGATGCAGCGCGCCCGGTTTAAATGGTAGATACCTAAACCTCTATATCAAATTAAAGCTTATAGAGCTGGCATTCTTGGTATAGTTTGATAGCCATCTCTATAAGCTTTAATATGATATAGGGGTTTAGGTATCTACAGTTTAAACCGGACGCACTACATCGCTTGGACGTGAGACACCTTAAAGGTGCTCTAAAGGTGCACGATAACCTGAAACGCTTATCACTGAATCACCATAAAACAGTATACTTGGTCGTGCAGTATTGCTTTGAGAAAATCATCAATTCCAATTCGCATAAACCAATCAGAATTATTCCACGATTACTCGTGAGCCGTGAACATGACGCAACGTTTGCGTCACGACACGTCACGTAGGTTGCATAGCAACGTCTTGCTCTCACAAAACTTGCGGGCTCAGACAATACCCGAGGACCGAACCGTGAACAGTTTAATATTTCTTCATTACTATAACGCGCCAATGAAATCCTCAATTTAAAGAGTAAACAATAAGTACCTTGGTGAGTTTGTACTGCCACTTGTGACAGACATGTCTGTAATTCTCGTAGTCTAAGTGATCCGCCTTATCATTGTTAGTAGCTCTCAAAACTGTCACAAATCCAGGGTAGCTACCGCACTCCTGTTAAATATTAAAACGTCACCAAAATCAGATTACATTCCTCATAAGAAGATTCTTAACGCATCGAGTCGTCAGACAGATCATCAAGTGCGGTGCAAGAACTCAATTTCGTCACTACCACTTTAGAGTGACTAACCTTCTCGTAAGTTTTCTTATCACCGTGCCATCTCATCACTATTTCAAGCATTGAACATAAAAACCGACCTGAAAGAAAATACCAGCAAATAATTAAGCCTTCAAGTCCCCTAGCTCGATATCACAAATCTCCTTACTGGACATTGCATATCTCTTTTCAATGCAGTTTAAAAGCGTCTGTTCGTTGATATAAAACGTAAATTTCACAACCTAGCCTTCTTTATTTTTTTTATTGCAACCCTAAAGGAGAAAACAGAAGTTGATCCTCAAAACCTACCATATCTACTGGCTTCGTTTTCTGTACAGCTTGCTACAGTGTATGAAATATCCGAAAAAACCTTCAGCGAAAGAAAAATATGAATCACTAAACACGGTTACAAAAGAAAGTCGACATAAATATTAAAAAAAAAAAAACTATCAAGGAAATTCAAAAGGTGACTTACTCTGTCGAAGCACAATAACGTTGAAAAGTTTGGCGTTTTGAGGTTATGCAGCATGTGAACAAACTTGGCACAGTACACAGCATCGCTTGCAGTAAACACGCATCTTGGGAACATACAGAGCTGAAGAAATTGCGTGATTGTCTCACTCTTTGTCGCTTCTAAAACACAACAATTCAACATTAGAGTTATGTAACTAGTTCTGTGCTAGGGCAGTTAAAGCAGTCACATCCAACCAATCACAGCAAAGAAAATTACGCGATGAGCCAATCAGTACTCAATGTGAAAAGCGACGGAAAACACGCGATTGCTGAGTCACGTGTGATTTTGCTTTTGTCTCGGATTGGTTGAAAAGAAACCAGCACAATGCACAACTTTTTTTTTTTTTTAACAACTTCAGAGTTTGGCCAAGGTGAAGCTCGAGCGAACAGAAAATTACCTTGAATAGCTCTAAGGACAGAGCGAGTTTGTACTTACTTGCTGGAAGCCAAGAGTCTCTTTCGTGTTTAAGAGAAGCCATCACTCGCTGATTGTGTTCTTCTTGCTGTTTAAACTCTTCTTTTAATTTTTCTACCAAAAGAGAACATCTTTCTTTCTCTTTCTTTTTCTTGCTGACAGGCTACAGGAAAGCAATACAATTACAAAAAAAATCAACTTCAAGTCACCCGCAATAACAGTGCTAGAGGGCACAGAGAATCGATTGTACATTCATCAAAAATGCTCCTTCAGAATCAAAATCATGACGAACGAAAAACAAGATTTCTCAGCGTAATCACGTTTGAAACGATTGATTTTGTAACACAACATCACTTCTGACTTATTTTGTTTCACGTTGGTGACCAGGACAAAAGTAATAAAAGATCACATGAAAGACAAAATGGATTCAATCAAAAAACGCAAGTCAGCCCTGTTTAAAGCGTGACATACCATGTCTTTGTTATCGTCCAACTGTGCCTGTTGTTGTTTTAATTTGCTCAACTCCTGTTCATATCGTTCAGATGGGACGTACAAATCAAACATGGACAGAGCCCAGAACGTCACATACAACTGTGGGCTGAAAACAACAAGCAACCATTAGCATATAATTTTATTTCATCCTGCTTAAACTTGTTATGGCTTCTTAGATAAACCCTAGGTGAATGATACAGCTTCTAAGATACTAGCATCACTGTCATTTGGCACTTTTTGAAAGGTTTCTTTTCATCTTTTTAACAAATACAGTAATACAAATACTGTAATATAAATACTATAATACAGTAAGCACAATTTTCAGAAGGATATGATTTTGTAGAATACCAGCACTTCACCGAAATTGATTGATCATGGCACGATCAATATTATTTTACAAGTCTGTGTTATGCCCGTGAGCTTTGAGTAAACTGTCTGCGAGTATTATTAAGGGTTATTTTTATTCACTATACTACATTGTATTTTCCTGTTATCGAAAATTCAAAAACAGAAACATCCAGTCAAACCTGGATTCTACAACATAAAAATGTCTGAAAATTCTACAAGGTTTCTTGCTGTTGTAGTGATTGAAAAGTGATGGAGCAGGTTACTACAAGACAAACGAAATTATTTTCAACAGCTGCAGTGGAGAGAAGATTCACCGTTACAAATGTAATCGATATCCAGTCACTAGAAATGGCATACCTGATGCTATTCCACACTTTAGGTACTTGTAGTAGCCGAGCACTTTGAAACACAGGCTCCATAACAGAATTTACAGCTTCAATGTAACACTGAAGAATTTGCTATGAATAAATAAATACAAAATCGAGTTGTTAGCCCCATGCAGAATGAAGCACAGTTCATATCGCTTCTATAAAAGTAACCATCAGCTTCTTGAAAATTAGACCAAATTATAGACCATTTTCACGAATGGCTGCCAATCATAAATTTTTTGTTAGGTATCAAATTTAGCCTGATTAGCCTTGGTTTTGACAACAACAACAAGATCCTTTATTTTACTCTCAAACAAGTTAAGTGAGGCTAATTTAAATACAGACAAGATAATTCTTAAATTGGTAACCATTCATGACAGGGGGTCACGTATACTGTTAATAGAGATCTAGACTTGATTAGTTTGCTGTCATATTCTAACTCACCTTTTGTTGTAGTTGTTTTCCTTTAGCAGCAATGGCCTTCTTTGCTTCCTCATACTTAGTCTGTGAGAAAGGAAACACATTAAAGATGTACACAACACTTTTTTTACGCTTCATTGAGCACTGCAAGTACATGCAATGTAAAAAAAACTGTCGCTACTTTGCCAATGACCTTTTCAAGAAACTACAAAAAAAATGAGCACAACAGAAAACAGAGAGATTACAAAGAAGGTTTAAAAGGAGAAGAAGTTAATTTTACAAAGCATCTTTTTCTCTAATCATACTCACATCTATCTGATGTACAAACATTGGTCTGGAAAGAAAGAATGCCGCATCAGGTGTGAGGTGATAAGTTTGCCCTAAGACATCTAGTGACGGCAGATGTGACTCATACTCTTCAGCAGTTAACTGTGATGCAAGGAAGCCACCAAACTGGACCAGAGTATCTTGACACTGAACAAAAATAACAGAACCAAATGGCTATGGTAAGGACATTTGAACATGATTTTTAAACTCATCACTAATAGATGAGCTTGGGAACTGGTGCCTTGTAGGTCAGCAGAGGGGGGAGGGGGCTGAGCACTTCAGGCACAGCAAAGAGGTATCCATGGCAACCCTATGAGTGGGAACCACCCCTACATGCAACCACCGCTTGGCACCATCAAACTGAACAGAGTTCAGTGGAGAAATACTTACCTAAACCCATGAACCATGAGGGTAGGAGGGCTAGGGGCAAGAATCCACAATGATTCACAGAAAAGTAAGCTATTGTTTAAATATCCACAGCCAGTGATGCACAAAGATCAGCTCAACACATAAATGATCCACGAAAATCAGATGTAAAGTGACACAAAATGTATGGAGGCCACGAAGTAAGCTCAAGCTCCTGAGGTCGTCCTGTAGGTCACATACGCAAATGGGGGTTGACCACTGACAACATTGGCTTCAGATTAATTTTGCCTAGATTGCATTTAGCCACATTTAAAATTTACAGAACATTCAAAACTCTGCTAAAGGACGCTTCTGATGCACTTAACAGTTGTAGCAAAGTCACACAACTTTTTTTTCACAATATTATTTCTTTACCTCCAATTAATCTATCCTACAAAACAAGAAATTATTTTTTTCACACCTGGTCATAGAGCTTTCCAACAAGCTTCAAATGCCTGTCAGGATCTTCATAGAACACAATGCCATTTCTCTGCTGAGCCATAAGAAGACACAATGGCAAGTCTAACTTTCCTTCTAACAGTGTGTCACGCAGACGCTGTGAAGACTTCTTTGTGTTTCTTATCTGACCAAAGTATCCACCCTGCAAACAATAAATTAATCAATTAGTAATCAATAGAAATGAAAAACCTTCAAAACAATATTTTTTCCCATCTACATTCAGATGTAACTATGCTGAGTCTTACAAGACTTAAGCACCATTAAGATAAACCAAGCGGACTAGCCGGCTGGAAAAAATTGCTTATAGATTGGTTTTCTGTCAATTGGCACTTTTATTTCATCAGATTTAACACCAGTTTGCTTATCCAACTTACTCAACTCACCAATCGTAATAAGGTTTATTTGCATAAACAAACTGATAAGTTCTTAGCAATTTTTTTTTAACCTAAAGAAGGCAGCAGTGCAAAATGTTGATACTTTTTACCTTTATCTAGCATCACAAAAAAAATCTCTTCTTATCTATCTGCTTATCCAACGAGCCAACCTTTCTTCTCTCCCTGCAATTAATGACACATGTATTTACCTCAGCCCTTAGAAGTTCACCACCTGACAGAGCTTCTAGTTGTGCTGCTGTCACCTCTTCTGATATCTCAATTCCAGACATTTTCTGTACCACCTCCTTCAGGACAAGCAAATCAAAGCTCTTCCCAGCCTTGAGCTGGTTTGCCACATACTGCAGAAGACCTGTAAGTTCAATGGAGTACTTGCGGAAAACAGTGCCACAAAACACTGCTAAACCTTTAAAAAAAAAAGGAATATGGAGGTCAGGTTAAACAAGACAGGAAACAAAATTCACTCTTTTGGTGCTGTGCTAAGAGTGTCCTTTTAGAGTTTTCACAATGGTCATATATAATGGTCACACATACACTGTATGGAAGGATGCAGTCAGACTTGCAAAATATTGTTTTCAATGAAATGTTTAGGAAATTTTTTCTTGGCAAACTGGGACCAAATCTCAATATACAATCTGACTCAATTTGTGCAAAAACTTTTAATTGATTTAAATTTTTGCATGCTTTTAAACAATTTTTTAAACCAGATCAAGGGAAAGTTGAAAAAAACACCCTATGAGTTTGGTCCTCATCAGTTGTGTTTGTTATCATGATAATTGTCAATGATTTTGATTAAACATCATTTGGGGAACCAACACTAACT